AAAATGCTGCGCCTGCCACAAATTTGGCACTTGACCTTGCGAAAGTGCTGCGCTTGCCACGAAATCTATACTTGACCTTGCGAAAGTGCTGCGCCTGCCTTGAAATCTGCACCTGACCTTTTGAAAGTGCTGCGCCTGCCATGCAATTCAACCTTGAGAAAAGTTGACCTTGCGAAAGTGCTGCGCCTGCCACGAAATCTGCACCCGACCTTGCCAAAAAGCTGCCCCTGCCACGCAATTCAAACCCTGCGAAACCTCTGCGTTGCCGTGCCAATGGGCCCGGCGCCGAACGTGATCCGCGAGCCCGCTCCGAGCATGCTCCGAACCCGCTCCGACCAGACGCCGCGGACAGGCTAGCTTTCGCGTCTCCGGAGACGCCAATTGCCACGCTTTTTGCGACTTTCTCATCTCCGAAAACGCCGATTCACGCACAGGGCCACGCTTTTTGCGACTTTCTCTTCCCCTGCCACACGCGCGCGCACTTTTTCTCGCGGGCTTATTCCTTCTCTTGTCATTTGTCTGAGAGAGCTAGCTTTCAATTAGTTGCCGTAACACGGAAGTTCCTTCTAAACTTCCTTAACGCCGATTCACGCACAGGGCCACGCTTTTTGCGACTTTCTCTTCCCCTGCCACACGCGCGCGCACTTTTCTCGCGGGCTTATTCCTTCTCTTGTCATTTGTCTGAGAGAGCTAGCTTTCAATTAGTTGCCGTAACACGGAAGTTCCTTCTAAACTTCCTTTGACAAACAGTTTAAGCCATTGAGATGTTAAGGCTTCGGGCCATTCAGATTCTGGTTTGAAGCCATTAAGGTTGCAAGATTGTAAGCCATCACTATTTTAAGACTTTAAGCCATTAAGAAGAAAGATGTGAACACGCCAAGCCACTAATATTTCAAGATTGCAAGCCACTCAAATTTTCAGAGTTTGACCCATTTGGGTTTTTAGGTTTTCAGCCATTACTATTTTACGGTTTGACGCCAATCATATTTCACCACGCTAGGTCACTAAGGTTTTACGAGCTTGAGCCATTCCACTTGTTAGAATTTGCGCCAAAAAGATGTGTCATATTAAGATATTAACAATTACATCAACTACGATTTAGTAATGCTAAGCCATAAAGATTCAGACTTTAAGCCATGAACATGTCAACACGTTAAGCCACTAAGACTGTAAGCATTTACCCCACGAAGGTTCTCTTGTTCTAAGGGTTGAAGCCATTAAGATTTGAAGATGATAACCCAGTAAGGTTTTAGGGTTTTAAGCCATTCAGAGTTCACACGTTAAGCCACACATACTTTAAGATTGCAAGCCTGATTCATATTTTTCAGGGTTGAACCCATTCAGGTGTTTATGTGTTCAACCATTTATTTTGTAAGGCTCAGTTATTAAGACTTTAACATGTTAAGCCGCTAAGATGTTAAGATGTTCGGCCAACACGACATTTACATTGTAAGCCATTAAAACGTTAATAGTTTAAGCCTGTAAGACTTTAAGCTACTAATATGTTAACACGTTGGGCCGCTAAAATTGTCAGAATTTACGCCCTCAAGCTTTTTCAGATTTTAAGCCATTCAGAGTTTAAGGTTTTCAGATGACCCTTTGTGCCCATGTTGTCCAAAATGTCATCCATGCCAGTGATGCTGGCAATGTTGTGGAGGTGCTGCCGGGAATGCAAAAGGAGACCCAGGAGGAATCGAACACCCTAAGGTTTGCCACAAACAACCGTGCCCTTTGGGAAGGAAGGGGAGGGTTTTATGGCTGAAACAAGCAGCATGGCCTGACCAATCCGGAAAACAGCCTTGGTGAGGGGACTTCGGGGGGTTGCAAGTTTGCAGCCACTCCTGCCTTCTGCACATGAACACGGAATGTGAAAAGCCACCGAATTCGAGGAATCTCCTTTTGTGGGAACTCTTGTTTGGACTTCATGTTTATTTGCAGGGGAGTAGTTTATGAATCGGGTCCCAACGCACCAGGGGTTTGCCTTCTGGAATGTGCTGTGCAGCTTTACTAAAGCCACTGAATGCGTGTTTTCGAGGGTTCTTAGGTTCATTGGCAGGGAAACTAAAAGAAACAGGTTTGGAGTCCTTTTTCTCGACACAGACCGAAATTGGTGCGTCTCATTTAAGGTTGTACCCCCAACATGGATTTTGGTTCCTTTTGGTTTCCTTTCCCTTTGAACCAATCCCAAAAAGGGCCATCCCCTCACTATTGAAACATTATTGGCGATTATCGGCATGTTTGTAAGTTTGTTTTGGTCGCCGTGCTGCAAAACAAATGCTACCACACCAAGGAAAGGAAAGATCAACACAAAGGCATTGTCTGAGTTGCGTCACCTTACAGCTGCGTCTTCGCTGAGCCCGAACTTAGCAGCCATGCAGTATCTGGGAGGCGTGTGTTTTTTTGAGGGGACGCTTTTTTCAGGTGGCTTTAAAGGGACATCAAAGGGAGTCGTCCCCGAAAGAAGACACACCCATGTAGAGAGCAGCATTTGCGAGCCACGCCTTCTGACCCTGAATCGAACAACTCAGTTGCTCAAAGCCGACCTTTTGACTTTTGGGTTTTCTTGGCTTGGTCTATTTTGAGTCATTGGCCCAAATTTATGTGCAGGTCCCAAAGGCGTATCTGAGATCGCAAACCCAACGCGCACACCGAGCCTAGCAAAAAAATGTGTTGGTCCCGACAGAAAACGGGCTGAGGAGCAAGATGAACAAGGTCGCAAGGGGGATGGCGTGTTTCTGCTTCAAACAAAGATACCCGGCGGCGTTTGTGCAAACACTGCGGTGGTCCGCTGCAATGCAATTATGCGGTAAACCACTACATTTGCGCGATGAAGCCACTCTTTCTTGCTTGCCGGGCCTCTGGCGCAATTTCGAGCTTTCCATCATTTTCGGGAAGCTGGGCATGCCAAAATACGCCGAAAACAAGCTACGGAAGATACAACTTGCGCAAGTGGTGTTATAACTGAGTTATAACTCTCCATTCTATCTTCCATAACTAAGTTATTGAGTTGCATCGGAGCCACGCCAGCCCGCCGAGTCATACGAATCGCGATACTAGCTCGCCCAACGTGGAGGCTTCGATACCTGGCGCGCCACATTCCTGCCCGGCATAGAAGCCCTGTTGTGTGGAAGCAATCCAAAGGAGGTGTTGTGTTGTTGACAGAGACGCAGCCATTCGGAAGGCCATGTTCACTCTCCAAGAAAGTGTTTCCCGCCGCGCCGTGCCGCAAGAACAGCGTGATGCCCAGATCGTCGGCCTGTACTGAGCCCGCAATACGTGAATATATTTTTATATATGTATATATGGATGATTCTCGCGGCAGTAGCGGAATCAGCCTGTTTGCTTTCAGCTAGTCTTTCCAGCTTAGGCGCACTATATTTGCGCAACGTTGGCCAGCAGCAAGCAGCGGACGCGCTTGCCCGCCCGAACGCTGCGCGGGCGGGCACGTCGCGCAGGCTTTGCGGGCAGAACGCGTTTGGCTTCGGTTGCTCCAGCCGGGCTGTTGTGGGTTTCAGTCTAGCGGAAGTGTCGACCGCCACAAGAGGGTCCGCAACATGTAATCTCTGCTAGTTCCTGGTCGTCGTACGCACAGTGGCCAAAACCAGCCCTGAACCAACATGTTGGCTTTCGCAGCCCGGCTCAAGCTGCTCATTGACCCCACTCACTTGAATGCGGGAACAATCCCTCCGAAGCCCTGCAAAACATCCCTGGCCTGTATGGGGCCAGCACCCGGAAATTTCGCAGAGGAAGTTGACCTGGCGCACGCCTCCTTTCTGGGCTTACCTCTCTACATGTGCTTTGTTCAACATCGAGCGCGTCCTCGGTACTTTGAACAAATGGACACCAAACAGCAGTTGAAACAGAGCTGTAACAATGTCCGTATTTTTCGTGAGATTGGGTTGGTTTGCGTCTGCGTGTGGTTGACCCCCCGGCTTCAGCTGACAGAGAACTGTGTACTCGTGTGAGAGCAGCAGGCCCAGTAACTGTCTCGGTTCCTTTTGTAAGCCAAGCCAGGGCAACTGCGGCAACCTCAAAAAACACGCGCCCAAAACCGGGCCCAGTTCAAGAAACACCAACAAAACAGTTTCTGCCATTCGGTGCCTGAGGCATGCATTGCATCCGTCGCTCAGACGCATTGGTTTCGATCATCGTTGCCTTTTGGCGGCCGCGGAAGTTTTTTCACCCAAAATCCAACACAATTCTGATGGACAACGCAGTATGCCTGATTGCAATTGCGGCTGTTTTTGCAAAGGGCACCCTCACCAACCCCCTTGTTGAGCCAACATCTCGGTAGTCAGATGCAAACATTGGCGAGAGGCCGCCCATCCGCATTGTTTAATCATTGGACATGTCACGTGCGTATTACGGGTGTTGAGGGCATTCTTGTCTAAATTGGTTTAACAGGAAATCGCAAGGCAAAGAACAATTTAAGCGGGCCCCTTATGTTGACACACTCCCATACAAACACCTACGTGGTTGTTGAAGCTCCTGAAAAAGGCCCGTTAAACCATCGGACGAACCATTTTTTCAGGGCATGCCAAGGGGCGCAGAAGCCTTATGCAACTGCAGTCTTTTGGCCAACAAATTGTGGCCACCTTGCTCGATGTGGCCTGGTGTCATGGTCTGACAGTTTATGGAACGCTATGGAACGCTTTGAGAGGATCAAGAAATCAACAGATAACCGTACTTTGTCTTTTCTCACCGTGCCTTGTCATTAGAACATGGGGTAATCCATGCTAAACCCCAGATAAACAGAGCAAATGAACAGTTGTTCCGAGGCGTTGGGTTTTCAGGTTGCGAATGGCACAAAGGTTAAACCAACCTACAAAACTCCTAATACGCTTCAAAATTAAAACCAATAACCCCCAAATGGTCCGGAAGGCATCTGATTGAAAGCAAACCTTCGCATTGCAGTGGCTTGCATTGAACTTGGATACTGCGGACTTCGTGTCTCCTGACGCTTTGCGTTGGACTAAACATGTGAGTCGACCCTGGTTTTCTCACCGGGTTTCTGATGTCTCAGTTGAGTTGGAACGCAGCAGCGCAGCTTCCGATTGAGTTTGAGAACATTTGTTTTGCCCATTTGGTTTTCAAGGGGCTAATGTTAATCCCGGATTAGTAGAACATCTGGTTGACTTTGATTTGGCGGGGGTGTCCCCTTTTAGTGGGGATTCAGACCACTTTTTAGAGGGAACACCCCCTAATGATGGGACGGGTTCTACTTAGATCCTGGGTCAACATTAACCACGAACTAACGAACAATCCCGTTGCAGGATGTGGGCACTCTCCCGGACCAGCTCATGCGCTGATCGAAACGAAACGCCCCGCGAGGCCCGGCTCTCTCTCTCTCTCTTACATCCCTGGGCCCTTGGGGACTTGATACGCCTGATAGCTGAGCAGCACACGAAACACCATGACTCACTCCCTGAGTTCCGTTTCGCACCTTAGTCACTTTGTGGGTTTGGACCAGTTTAGTGAACTTTAGTGGCAATGTTCAGACTTTTTTTGGGCCAATCCGCTCAGGAAGTGAGACAAGGGCCATTTCAGTGGTTCTGCCTGGTTTCATGGGCTTATAGGGTCGATGTAAACTTGCGGTGGGTTTGTAAGTCTGGACGGAGACCCTAGGGCTACGGATCTTCTGAACCAGACGGCAGGAGTGCTTTACTTTGGCCTAGGGGGAAAGGTGAGCCCCAGTGTTGGGAGCAGGGTATTTATTGGCATTACGACAAGCACCAGATAGCGTACTGTTATTCTTCATGATGGTCGAGTTCTTGGGTGGCTTCATATGGGGAACCTGCCAAAATGTCTGCGGCGTTCCTTTTGGTTGTCACTCAAAACCACAGAAAAGAACACCTACAAACAGACGAGCCCCCAAAAGGTTTTGCTGTTTCCTTGGGTTTGAAGGGTACGGTTGGTTCAAGGAAGCCAAAGGATGGAAGTCCATTTGTGTGTTGCTTAAACTTGGAGTTGGACCCCTAAAATGCTTTCTGTGTTGGTTCCCCCTTTCAAAACCCACCAACAGAAAGGGGCCCAGCATTTTGAGAAGCTTTTGTTGAATGCCCCGCAAGGCTTGGACTGAATCCCAGGAGTTTGGGCCTAGTACTTTCATTGAATGCCCCGCAAGGCTTGGACTGAATCCCAGGAGTTTGGGCCTAGTACTTTCATTGAATGCCCCGCAAGGCTTGGACTGAATCCCAGAGTTTGGGCCTAGTACTTTCATTGAATGCCCCGCAAGGCTTGGACTGAATCCCAGGTTTGGGTACCCCCGCAAGGCTTGGACTGAATCCCAGGAGTTTGGGCCTAGTACTTTCATTGAATGCCCCGCAAGGCTTGGACTGAATCCCAGGAGTTTGGGCCTAGTACTTTCATTGAATGCCCCCAAGGCTTGGACTGAATCCCAGGAGTTTGGGCCTAGTACTTTCATTGAATGCCCCGCAAGGCTTGGACTGAATCCCAGGAGTTTGGGCCTAGTACTTTCATTGAATGCCCCGCAAGGCTTGGACTGAATCCCAGGAGTTTGGGCCTAGTAACTTTCCTATTTGAATGCCCCGCAAGGCTTGGACTGAATCCCAAGGAGTTTGGGCCTAGTACTTTCATTGAATGCCCCGCAAGGCTTGGACTGAATCCCAGGAGTTTGGGCCTAGTACTTTCATTGAATGCCCCGCAAGGCTTGGACTGAATCCCAGAGTTTGGGCCTAGTACTTTCATTGAATGCCCGCAAAGGCTTGGACTGAATCCAAGGAGTTTGGGCCTATACGTTCATTGAATGCCCCAAAGGCGTGGACTGAATCCCCAGGAGTTTTGGGCCGAGTACTTGCATTGATGCCCCGCAAGGCTTGACTGAATCCCCAGGAGTTTGGGCCTAAGACTTTCTTGAATGCCCCGCAAAGGCTTGGACTGATCCCAAAGTTTTGGCCTAGTAAACTTTCCATTGAAATGCCCCGCAAGGCTTGGACTGAATCCCCCCAGGAGTTTGGGCCTAGTACTTTCATTGAATGCCCCGCAAGGCTTGGACTGAATCCCAGGAGTTTGGGCCTAGTACTTTCATTGAATGCCCCGCAAGGCTTGGACTGAATCCCTGGAGTTTGGGCCTAGTACTTTCATTGAATGCCCCGCAAGGCTTGGACTGAATCCCAGGAGTTTGGGCCTAGTACTGTCATTGAATGCCCCGCAAGGGCTTGGGACGGAATCCCAGGAGTTTGGGCCTATACTTTTCATTTAAATGCCCCCGCAAGGCTTGGAAACTGAATCCCAGGAGTTTGGGCCTAGACTTTCATTGAATGCCCCACACGGCTTGGACTGAATTCCCAGGAGTTTTGGGCCTAGTACTTCATTGAATGCCCGCAAGGCTTGGACTGAATCCCAGGAGTTTGGGCCTAGTACTTTAATGCCCCGGAAGGCTTGGACTGAATCCCAGGAGTTTGGGCCTAGTACTTTCATTGAATGCCCCGCAAGGCTTGGACTGAATCCCAGGAGTTTGGGCCTAGTACTTTCATTGAATGCCCCGCAAGGCTTGGACTGAATCCCAGGAGTTTGGGCCGAGTACTTTCATTGAATGCCCCGCAAGGCTTGGACTGAATCCCAGGAGTTTGGGACTAGTACTTTCATTGATGCCCCGCAAGGCTTGGACTGATCCCCAGGAGTTTGGGCCTAGTCCTTTCATTGAATGCCCCGAAGGCTTGGACTGAATCCCAGGAGTTTGGGCCTAGTACTTTCATTGAATGCCCCGCAAGGCTTGGACTGAATCCCAGGAGTTTGGGCCTAGTACTTTCATTGAATGCCCCGCAAGGCTTGGACTGAATCCCAGGAGTTTGGGCCTAGTACTTTCATTGAATGCCCCGCAAGGCTTGGACTGAATCCCAGGAGTTTGGGCCTAGTACTTTCATTGAATGCCCCGCAAGGCTTGGAGTATTTTCATTGAATGCCCAGGGAGTTTGGGCTAGTACTTTCATTGAATGGCAAGGCTTGGACTGAATCCCAGGAGTTTGGGCCTAGTACTTTCATTGAATGCCCCGCAAGGCTTGGACTGAATCCCAGGAGTTTGGGCCTAGTACTTTCATTGAATGCCCCGCAAGGCTTGGACTGAATCCCAGGAGTTTGGGCCTAGTACTTTCATTGAATGCCCCGCAAGGCTTGGACTGAATCCCAGGAGTTTGGGCCTAGTACTTTCATTGAATGCCCCGCAAGGCTTGGACTGAATCCCAGGAGTTTGGGCCTAGGAGTTGGACTGAATCCCAGGAGTTTGGGCCTAGTACTTTCATTGAATGCCCCGCAAGGCTTGGACTGAATCCCAGGAGTTTGGGCCTAGTACTTTCATTGAATGCCCCGCAAGGCTTGGACTGAATCCCAGGAGTTTGGGCCTAGTACTTTCATTGAATGCCCCGCAAGGCTTGGACTGAATCCCAGGAGTTTGGGCCTAGTACTTTCATTGAATGCCCCGCAAGGCTTGGACTGAATCCCAGGAGTTTGGGCCTAGTACTTTCATTGAATGCCCCGCAAGGCTTGGACTGAATCCCAGGAGTTTGGGCCTAGTCCTTTCATTGAATGCCCCGCAAGGCTTGGACTGAATCCCAGGAGTTTGGGCAATCCCTAGTCGACCATCCCTGGCTTTGCGTGCAAACAAATGGCACCCCGATACAAAAAACCAGGCCTTTGGAAGCCCAGAACCCTCCAAAAAGACGCACCTTGGAGAAAAAACGACCTGCAAGTCCACTTCAGAAGTCCTGGCTCATTCACTTCAAACGACGCGCTCGCGTCTTTGGCTTGATCTCCCTTGCTCGGTCCTGAGAGTGTTTTTTTTGCAATGAGTCAAGCAAGGTGGAATTCGGAATACCGCAAGAAGTGCATGATCTTCCATTTCCTGCATGGTCGCGACAGTCGTTGTGCGACGAAAGCGTACTTGAACCCTGAGGGTGCCCCAGCAATGCTTTCCCTTGTCCACTCCTTTATCTCCTGCATCTGCCTTTTCCCTCATGTTTGTAAAAGCTATGTTATCTTTCCCTGGCTCAGCCCCAGAGTTCCTGGACCGTATACGTTTGAGAAGACCATGTCAGTGAACTTTGTGTAGCCAATCGACTCGATCGGAGGCGAGCTGCGCCTTTCTCCTGCCCTTTCCTACACATGAGCCACAAGCAAAACCCGAGCGAGTAGATGAAGGTTTATGACGGGACCATCCCGACCAGAAATGGCCATGGGTCATAACCTATGCCTCCCTTGGCGCATGAACACCCATGTACTACCTATTTTGACGTTCACCAGGGGTTTCCTGGGTTTTAACCAGCATGCCTGCCTTCGCCGCCTTCAACTCTGGTTCCTGGGGCCATTTTGATACCCTCAGTTCTTCAAAGACGACCTCTTGACCTTTTGTTTTACCCAATTTTGGTCTACTTTTAGTAGAGGTCCCAAAAGGTTAACCTTGTACCCTCCCTCCAACAATCATAGAAGCTGACAGGAGCGTGTTGGAAGACAGTTTTCCTCTTGGGGAAGCCTCGTGTCCACTTCCACGATTGTTGGAGGGAGGATATGTCCAGGTCCCTAAGGGCAAAGTACCGATCGGTCTTGAATTGATTCATCTCGAGGCGAGATTTCCGTCCGTGGCCTCAGAACCTGCGAGGGCCAGCCGGGCCAGCGCCAGTCAGTCGAGTCGAAGACTTTTGGCGGTGCCAAAAGACCGGCTCAACGGGTTTGGAGTTGCCCGTAGGTGGTGGAATGTTCGTTTTTGTTTCTTTTTCCTAAATGTTAAACTCTTAGCGGGGTGAGGACTGGTTGAGTGTTTGGGATTCCATTTAACCTACAACATGTTGAACCTTTAGCGGAGATGTGAGGACGGCCCAGTGTGGATGAACAAAATCATGTCACATTTCTTTGGTGCGCATGAGCAGTACATGAGCAACTAGCAATCTCCTACACCGGTTTTCCTTTTTACTTGGAGCATGTCAGTGGCAGCTAAAACGTCTGGACTTGTTTGGGCCAATCCACTCAGGAAGCGGGATATGGCTGTGGTTGTCAAAACCAATGGGATCCCATTTTGGGGCGGGTGCACCACCCATTTTTGGCTTCCTATTCTAGTGGTTGGATTGGGATGTTCACTGGGGGTACGGGATTTTGACCCATGGCCATATTATTAGGGGTAGTCGATTCTTGCTCAAGATGATAGTACTGCAGGACTCTGTTCCATGAAGGTCTATTCCAGTATAAGCGTGTCATCCAATCCAACTGGCAAGCGGATCTTGGCTTTCCACAGTATTGCAGGACAGGGGAAACCAGTTGGTAATTTTGTGATTACAGTGGATTTGAACTAGAATGAAAT